GATCCCATTGGTACTCCTTCTGTTTGTCTGTGTATTTTGTTTTGAAAGTTGAAGACTGTGGAGGTCGGGCAGAACTGTACGCCTAAGATGATCTCATTAACCGATATCTTAATTCTGTTAGTGAGTTCTGAGTCAATACTTAGTTGACTTCTGACTGCCTCTAGTGCCATATTGATCGGTATTTAAGTACACAGACTTGTTACGTCGAAGCTAACCATATCTTCATCCTCTTCTATATGTAGGTCATGAGGCCTTAGTTTTAACTCGTAAGAGTTTACTGGTCTGGAATTTGAACGTCTCCTAATAGGACATAGTATCGATTCTAAGTACTTTGCTAGTTCATATGTTGTGGTACTTCTGAAGTCAACTATGGGTCTAATGGAATATCCTGGTTTATGAACCTTAGTAGTGCCATAAATTCTTCTAGGATTATTAGTTTTAGGCATTAAATTACACCATTCGGACTTAGCTAGAGATGGCTTTAGTCAGCGTATCGGTCATGAATAAAATTAAGAAATTTACAGCCGATCTGATAGGCCTACTATAACTGTGCTCAGGTAACCGTTTACTTCTGGCTAGCCCAACCTCAGACATAAAGATCGACATTGTTTAACGTGATGTCCACCAAGCTCAACTCAGCGATGGACACCGATAAATCACATTTACGTTAGTCATCTTTGGAGAAGGTCGGTAGAAGACTGCCGCTCATTCTGGAGCAGGTGTTTGAATAGCGACCACGCGTTGGTCCGAACGCGTATATGTCTGCGTCTCAATGGACGTACAAAAACGTTAATGGCAGGATCATTACGAGTGCAGCTGGATAATGAGAGCACTATTTACGCCCTCAGTGAGAAACTGGCTAGGCAGTTATCGGAACAGAACACTGTCACTCACTCGGAAGAAACTTTGTGCCATCTCGAGTCTGCTGTAAAAGGAGCGTTGAAGACCGCTAGCCTATTCTTACACAGAGTGGTCTGAGGGCGGAGTCGTACTGCTGTTAACTGGATGGGGTGTGACAGCAGTAAGGTGTTTCCTTTGGATGACCAGCAGTGCCATGCTGATGCTGCCTTCTCAGTGGGAGGGGCGGGGGTTAGAAAAGGTCGGCCTCAAAAATAACACACTCCACCATACCTCACGGTCTGGCGGGCCGAGATTGTTGGTTCATTTGTCGTTTCCTTTCGACCATCCGGCCCGAAAACAACTATGCACAAAAGGCTTCGTGTGACAGGCCTGAAGCAGATGTTCGATGGGCTCTGCGGTCACAAAAATCTCTTTCAAGTACCTTAAGAAGAAATAGCCTTCCACGGTGTGGGCAGCCGGGAAGTGTCAACTGCCCTCACAACTCTATCAGCACTCAAGTTTCTTCTGACTGCTATCCATCTCCTCCATCATTACCTTCTAATCTTCCTTCACGTCTCTCACTTAACGATACTACATCATCTTCAATTTCTCCTAGTTTTGCAGCCTTTGACAATGATCTGAGTCCACAGAACAGCATCCTTGGTCTCCTTAAACTACGCTCCAAATTACACATCGGTGCCTTCAGTGTTTGCACCCTCCGTCAAATTGGTCAACAGGCTTCGTTGGCAAAGACTCTAGCAACTCGAGGCATGGATGTGTTCTTTGTTTTTTTGAGACACGGATACAGGACCCAAGTGTGGTTACTTACCTGACCTCTCCTGGTCAATCTGTTGAATGCATAAAATCCACCCTTCGAGTTTCTGGAGAATTCGATAGCTAGCTCTCGTGGTCTTGCAGGTGTGGGGATAGCACTAAGCACTAGGGTAGAAAACTCACCACTAGAATGGATCCCAGTTGATAGTCGCCTCTGCGCTGTCCGGCTGAACGGTTCAGTGAGAACTAAAATGTGTGGTAAGACTCGTCTCTGTCTCTTTGTAATAGCTGCTTAGGCACTCACTGAATGCAGTTTGGATGAAGTGAAGGACGATTTCTACCGTAAACTGTCTAGTATCCTCTCGAAAGCCAAACGATCGGAGTGGTGGTTGTTGCAGATGATTTCAATGCACAGGTGGGTAGACTGAGTGGGACAGAAAGGCACTTAGGTGGCACTTTCGGAATCCCGGTTGAACGTACAGATGACGGTGATTGCCTATTACAACTATGCTCAGATAACCGCCTATTTTTAGCCAGCACCAATTTCAGACATAAAGAAAGACACTACCTGACTTGGTGTCCACTGAGCTCAACTCAGAGATGGACACAGATAGACCATATTGGTGTTAGTCATCGGTGGAGAGGATCGATGGAAGACTGTCGCTCTTTCTGGAGTACGTACTGGATCATGTGTTGTTCCGAGCACGTATATGCCTGCGTTTGAATGGACGTAGAAAAAATTTGGCAACAAAACCACCACGAGTGCTGCTGAAAAACGGAAACACCAAAGCCGTGTTCAGTGAGAAGTTGGCTAGGCAGTTATCGGAACAGAAGTCTGTCACTCATCCAGAAGAAGCTTGGTGCCATCTCTAGTCTGCTGTAAAAGCAGCACTAATGACCGTAGCCGACTCCCAAATAGTGGCTAAAAAGAGCCAGTGGATATGAGCAGCTTCTTCCGAACTAATGGATGCACGTGAACGCATCCCTGCAGACTGTGAGTACAATGAAGAGCGAGCGCAACTTAGATGTAGACTGATGAAAAGTCTACGCAACGATCGAGGACAGTGGTGAGCAGCGAAGGCTAAAGTGATGGAAAAGGCAGTGGTGATTGGTAACAGTAGACAGTTATTAAGACTTATTAAGGAGACTGTGGGGAAAAGGTCAACTGCGGTTATTGAGACCATAGTGGAGAAGGACGGATCTGTGATTCACTCGCAGAGGAGACGACTGTAACGATGGGCAGAACACTTGGAGGAAGAGTTAAACTGGTCTCCAGCCACCATTGGGTTGCCTGCTATCCAGTTGGATCGTGGACGAAACATTGAGATAAGTGCCTCAACACTTGCAGAAGTCGAGAAAGCAGTAGGTAACTTGAAACGAGGAAGGTCGGTAGGACCATACGGACAAACTGCTGAGGTACACAAGAATGGTGGTAGAGTGCTCTTAGTCAGGAATCAAATACGATCCCCTGTGACTGGTGTAAGTCACTGATTATCCCAGTCTTCAAGAAAGGCGAGAAGTCCTCTTACGATAACCACAGAGGAATCAGCCTGACGAACATAATGTTTACGATTTTAGGTTCTATAATCATCAGACGCCTGAGTGGAGCTCAGGAACAGTAAGCCCGAGGAAACCAGGCAAGCTTTAGAGCCGACCGCGGGTGTATCTACCATATGTTAACACTGCACCAGGCTTCAGAACACAGACACGCTTACTGACGCCCGACACTAGCTGTATTTTTCGATGTGAAAGCGGCATTCGACTGTGTTGATGGAGAAGTCTTATGGCGATGTCTGTCACTGAGAGGCGTGCCGAGTAAGTACATCACTTTATTGAAGGCTCTCTACTTGAACACTTGTTGGCGTGTTAGATGATGAGATGTCCGGAGAGTTGTGCTCATCGAGTGGTGTCCGTCAAGGCTGCTCACTCTCTCCATTGTGATTCGATTTTATCATAGATATTCTTATGGAGTTTTCCCTTTCGTCATCTGACTACACAGAGATTGACCTAGTCGGTGGAGAATTTTCGTTAGACGTAGAATACACGGATGACATAGTCCTGTTAGGTGAAGACGCTGTCATGATGCAGAGTCTTCTGAAGACTTTGAGTGGGAATTCGAGAATGTTTGGGATGCATTTCTCACCACCCGAATGCAAATTATTGCTCCCGGATTGGACTTCAACAGTGTCTCAGCTAACAATAGAGAGTGTAATGGTTGAGTGTGTCGACTGCTTCACTTACCTGGGAAGTGGGATCAGCCCTAGTGGCTCAGTGGCCGACGAAATTTCTACACGAATACAGAAGGCTTGACTGGCTTTCTCCAACTCACACCACTTGTGGTGCCGCTGTGATATCCGTTTGTCTATTAAGGGTCGCGTGTACTGCACAGCAGTTCGCTCTGTTCTACTCTACTGTAGGGCTGTGAAACATGGCCATTGAAGGTGGAAGACATGAGAATGCTTCAGATGTTTGACCACTGTTGCCTTCGTAGTGTAGGACGTATTCCGTGGTGTCACCACTTGAGTAATGCAGAAGTTAGGTGTAGAGTTTTAGGGAGAAGAGGTAAATCAGTAGACGAGGTTATAAACCTTCATCGATTGAGATGGTTGGGACACGTGTTACGCATGCCTTGTTGCCGTCTACCTCGTCACACAATATCGGCTGAAGTAGGCCCAGGCTGGAAAAATGCTCTAGGCGGTCAGACTAAAACATGGCATCAATGTATGAAGTCCTTCCTTGACTGTTGGTTTGAGCTATGTGAGGCTTTGCAGAGTGGGTGGTTGGGGTCCGCGGGAGAAGAGGAACCAATGATTGGAGACTCTAGGCGATATGTCTCAGAAGCGATGTCACTGGGGGAAATGTATGCAAACGCTATTCTTCTCTGTGTCGCTGTACTAAATCGCATCATTTTCTCACTGCTCTTTCTTTTGTTTTACTATTGTCTACTTCTTTCGTCTGGTTTTTCTTTCCTTCATCTTCCGTTTTATTGCCTTTTTACTTGAGGTTCTGATATGAAGTATTGCAACTTGGATTGGTACTCAGTAATGCCTAGTCGTATGTTGATCTTGATGATGATGATATATAATGCGGTGAAGTTGATCAATACATCAATCAGGAAATTGTGGAATGACCATTGGTTACTGTTAGGTAGGTTCCGACTTATATATTGATTAATGCCAGCTTAGAGTATTTACACTGATGTAGGCGGAAATTATCTCGTATTTTTTATTGTTCACTACCAAGTTCCTCAGCTGTTTATGCTATAAAAACCAGTGGTGTACGCAAAGCAGGAATATGCACAACTTATTATCATTGTTATCACCACATTTTACCGATGCATTGTTGATTGCAGTTTTGTATTAGTTTAATAATTCTCTGCTTTCCAGGTTTAATTATATGCGTTTTTCGATCAGCTATTGTACCAGTACTCAAATCTTTCACTTCTTCGCTTTACCACCTGAACTACAAAGTAAGTGGTCTTTTATTCTTTTGTATTAACTTTTGCCCTCCTAACGTTCACTAGGAGTGTTGGGATTTGAATCCTATTGTCGTTAATTATGGTCGAACGACGAGTGACATTGATTCGTTGATCCACTCTGACATGCTTATTGTCATCGCAGTTGGTGCTAATTGTTAAAACTCACACAGTGTCATCTTTGGTTTTTCGAGACTATTTGAATCTAAGTTTAGACTTCTACCGTCCGTGCACTATGTCAAAGGTGGTGACAAGCATTGAGTTGATGTATTCCAACAGTTTTCTCTACTATCTAGTTTTTGAGCGGACTTAGTGTTCCTTCGTTATCAGAAGGTTTGTACAGATATCACTTGTTTCGAGTAGGTCTCTTAGCGACTTTATCATAACTACTATTTCCCATACCATTTATAGTGTCCTGTCTAGGAATTTCGTTTTCATTTGCAGCTAACATTTGGATGTGAGCAAAGATTAAATTAAGTCAATGAAATTTTCGTTGTCTGCTAGCTTTTAGTTAGTGATGGCCTGCAGTGTGTTCAGCTGAAAAAAAAGTTGAATTCACTGATTGTGAAACAAGCTGTAGGATGTGTTACATAATACTAAACATTCAAATACCATCATATTACTTAAGCACATTCATGAGTAAAGAGGAGAACTGATTCGGATAAAATGTCATTTACACGGTATTTGGGAAACTACAACCAGATAAGTAACTGAGGGTGATTGGCTTCGATTATTAATACACATTATCATGAAATTAGCCACGGTTTGAGAAGGAGCGTAGATTATTTAAACTGCAGAAACACATCAAATGGAACAGAAGTATATCTCTACACAAAATGGCAATGAATATAAACAACCAATGAAACACTTGAGTTTTATTGCAGAGAAGAGAGTTCCATTACCTTATGTAAGGAGTTATATAGTATGCTGGCTACAATTTGTTGATTTTGCCAGTGATCATGTGTATTTGAGCATCGAAGCTGCGGTTTGTAGTGTGAAGATTTAAAAATGTTTCTGGGTCTAAGTGAATTCTCTCAATCAGTGCATGGAATATCGTCCTACTTTACTTTGAGCAAAGTCTAAGATCAAGAAATAGTCAGTGTACAACAGTTAGTTGGGCATGGTAAGCGGACTAACCTCGAAATATTTGACGGTTAGCATAAATTACCGAGAAAGAAAGATCAGCGATCCATCCGCAAACCAGATATTTATGGTCATAAATATATGGGTAGCTTTTACTATAATCCCACCGTGTTTAGAAAATCAAAAAAAGATTTCTCCGAAAGCTGGTTGAGATTAATTTAAAACTCACCTCTATAATGGTTAAATCAAACTTGGCGCTCAACTTCTTCCACAACATTTTTAAAAACTATGGACTGGGTATTTATAACAATTTATGGTCAGGATTTCAGTCAGTTTTGGGCTCAGGGTCGTACGATTATTCCTCTATCCAAAGGCGTCATCCAACTCCACAGACTAAAAGGCCTTTCACTTATTCTGAGTGTAGACAGTATATAACCAGTAAACCAGTTTATATTCAGGTTGAACTTTTGAAGGTAACGTAATCTGCTTGTCGCTTCTCATAGATTGATCTACCGTATGAAGAGTGTTTAGTTAATATAGTGTATTATGGGGAGAAAACTGACCGAATACTTTTATACATTTTCAAAAAGTTTGTGTTTATTTTCTCTGAGATGCAGTATATTGACTTGGAACTGGTATAAATTAATGTCTTTTTTAAGTTTTTAGCTCAGAAGTAGTCTTCGCCAATCACACCATGTATCACCGTAATCTCTATGCTTTCCCTAAAGTGTGATAATTTGAACCAGTACACAATTTTCGTAAACTTTAGGATATTTTAATTTATCTGGTTATTTTTTCCCTACTATTCATCAGTTTTTTCAAGCTTTGTAGTAATGTTCAGTGTGATGAACATTAAAATGATTCATTCAAGTTTATGCTTGCTATCACTGATAATTGGTTATCCTCTTTAGTTGGTTATATTAGATTCATTTATTGATTTCATACTGTACTATCTAATGAGAAGTATTTCTAATTCATCACTCTCAACACTGTCAGTATGCATTTTATCTTAGTATGTTAATGTAAACATCTGCATATGCATATTTTAAAGCTAGTTTCATAGTAACATAAATGATTATATTCGCTTAACTAAACTGGTTTATTTTAGAATAAGAATGATAGATCCACTGAATATTATATGTTTGAACTTATTTGTCAATTCTTCATCTCCAACTGTAAATTTTATTCACTTTCATATGAAAACCATAAGGTTATAGATATTTCAGTAGCTGTCGACAGATCTTTAAACAACTTTTTATTTTTAATTAAGCTTGTCTGATAAATCACCTGTTATTCCAATTTAACTTTGTTCTCTATTGCCGCTGGTATTAGTATTTTGCGTTCATTTGGAAATGTTTCGCCAACTATTTGTAGTTGTTTGGTTATATCATAAACCATCAGTCTACTGATTTCTTTCCAAGTATTGTCACGTGATACAATTTCGTTTTCATTTGATGCAATTCTCTGCTGTTCCGTATAGCAAATTTATCCTATTCTATTTTTTGACTGAGATGCATGTACTTGACAGATAGATCAATGTGGAACTACACATAGAGGTGTATCGATTTTAGTTACTGTGCTTCATTTCAGTATGTAAGGATGAGATGTGTCTAAAAGTAATATTGAGTTGGACAGTTATTGAGTAACTTGTTCCCTTACCTTAAGCCTTTAACTGAACACATTGCTTATTTGATAACCAGATGATCTTTTGTGCTTACACATGTGAACGAAGGTAGGAAACTGGATGACATTTTATGAAAAGCTGGTTGAAAATAAAGTCTATGAACATTTTCACATCGAAATACTATACTATACTATATGGTTCTTCCAGCTATGAAAGTACTTAACTAAAATATAGTTTTCTTCTGGTAGTCTTTTCATAGAAAAGGTAAATTTCAGTCTATAAATCCTGGAACTTCCCAGGTTATGGATGTGAATTATCGAAACTGCGTGAACTTTTTTTGCGGCAGTTTCATTTCTGATCGCTTGCTGTTACTATGACACCCTAATGTAGTATATCTATTACTACTAATGTTACCAATGTTTTTTTGTCTCCGGAACTTATTTAATCTAGGAATACTACTTTAAAATAGATCTAGGTAGTCAAACCATACTGTCATTGTTAGCGGGATCAAGGTAAAGTAAGTAGCAGTACATTCCAAATTGTAGAAAATTGTTTTATGAAAGGTGGAAACCGATCGTAAACTATATACCGAGTTTCAGAAATTTTGTAATTAACTTTTTTGTGGCCAGTATTTCATAGTCTGTTGGCATAAGTTTACTTCCTTTCTATTGTTTAGAAGGATTTATAGTGTTAGATTTAAACTCAGCTTCTTAAGTTTTAGCTGCGTTCATCGACCACTGTCCGTTGAGAATATCCGATATCTTCATTTTCAGTTTACTTTGTTATAGATGGGCCTCTGAAGGTTTATCTCTTCGTCTCTGACTTTTAAGGAGTTCATCTTATCACAGGAGATTTCTTATTTCACCTAGAGTGCACAGGTGATCAAGGCATATTTTCCGCATGAATATCACCGTCTACCACGATGCGTTATTTTATCTGAAGCAGAACTAGGTTGGAAAAAGGTAGTCACTCTAAAACATGGCATATGTACTTAAAACCTATGATTATGATCTGAGTTGTGTACGGACTTCTAGACTGGGGTCTGGATGCTAACTAAAATAGATGGCTAGCAACTGTAGGTGATATAACTGAGAATCGATCGCAGTGGTGCAGAATCAACCATAGATTATTGTAATCCTGATCGTCACTTCACATGTATTTATTTGTTTTAGCTCTTCTCTTTCTCTTCCTGTGACATTTTATGTCTCTTGATTTTTTCTACCTTCCCTGTTTTTCGTCTCGTGTTTTTCTATCTTTATGAGCTGATTTGAAGCGTAGCATCTTGGACCATTACACATTAATACCACGCCCTATGTTCAAACTTACTGATTGTTGTTCGCCAAGGAATTCATAGTTTAAAATCTTTCACTTAGAGTTTAGATATATGTTCTGTCCGAAACATACTGCATGTGTAAATGTTCATTGTGTTGTGGTATATTGACAATCATGTTTTTGTATTTATTTGTTTCACGTATGATGTAAGCCTATATGGAGCTCTAATTGCAGGAAAATTATAAGAAATAATCATTTACCAAGCTTTGTGATACGGGGCTGAAGAAGTTCTGGATATCTGTCAATGATGCTATTTCACTATGGGATATATTCAAAAAATAAACAAGAAGTCATACTATGTAGTCATTCTCAATGTTTCCTTTTCGAAGACTTTTTTGAAACGTCGTAGGATGTTCTTGTCATTGAGATATTTTAGCTAGGGAGTGGTGTATTAAATAAAGGAAACCTTACCACACACATAATTTGTTGATGGCCATACTATAATCACTACTGTTACTATACTACCTTTTACAATTGTTGGGTATAGATAGAGTTTAAGTAATGTTTTGAAGCGTTTTTATGATTTATATTTCAGATCGTTTATTTTCGGTGATTGCCGTATGTGAGTACTTGAGTCTTATTGTTGGCATGGTGACTTTACCATACATTTATGCTGCTACTGTTGCTTCGTGTTCCGGCACAGTGTTTCTTGTATCCTCAAGTTTGGCATTCGTTGCTCTTTTATTACTTTTGTAAGTTTAACTTAGTATAGCCCTTACTTGTTCTGACTTGAATTCTCAATATGTTTGCAATGCTTTGCTAGTACAGTTTTTGTGAAGCGGTCTTTTATAGGTAAAAGCAGTCGATCTCTAAATAGTAGGTGATAAGTCCGAACTCTGCCCTACCTAGCGACATTTGGACGCTCTTGGTTCCATACAAAATGTGTGGCTCATCATATAGTGCTTAATTCCGTATGTTTTTAAAGTTATATTGCATTACAGTACACTAAAAATGTCTGTTGGATGTGTAAATACCCATACTGTTTGTTGCGAAGTGTGCTGTAATGTATAGCAAGTTGTAGCATATTAGAAAAGTGTGTAGCGTTGATTTTAATCAATATTATTCATGAAATTATGACTTAAGATCTCAAGAAACTGCAAGAAACTGAAATCAAATAATTATTTGATTTCAAACCCTCTGTGACTTTCACAAATGCAATCTGTATCTAATAATAGTAATGGTCTTAATTCAATATTTAGCTGTCAACCATAATTATATTGTATTCTAGGAAATAATACGTAGGTGATTATTAGTTCTTTTTTATTCATATCTCATTCGGAAACTAAGACCTTGTCAATAGAACTCATTTTTAGTAAATGCGTCACGTGGAATTTAGAAAAAATATCTATAGGCTGTTTGCATGGCAATATTTCTCACTATTTTAGTTGCTTAATTGTTCAAAATTCATTCTATGTATTACGTTCAGCCGAAATATACTTCCTCGTCTTTTAGAGGGACAAAATTGGGATAAAAGGCTTCTTAGGGGACAATACATCGGTAAAATAATGGAACTGGCTGTGTATATCAGATTTTTCGGAAATCAGACAGAAAAAATAAGCTATAGTGAAACTAGACTGAGTGAATGAGTGTACATATACATATGTATATGCATATATATATATATATATATATATATATATATATATATATATATATATATATATATATATATATATATATATATATACGTAAATGTTTCGAATGTAACATTATTTTTCATGTCTCACGTAGTGAAGTTTACATAGTAGGCTTATTAATTTATCACATGTCAATTGTATACTTGACCAACAATTGTACATTTTAAAGTGAGGGTGAACTAGTTAATTTGTGCGATTTGTCTTATGTGTCTCTACTTTTAAATAACTACAAAAAAAACCAAATCCTTTTCAAGCACTAACATTTTATAAATCATATTCATACACCAGTGTTGATCTAGCTCAGATATAAATTCCGTGAAATATGATTTCTTCAATTAACTTATTGTTGATAGTGAATGCTGTTGAAAGTCCGAGCATTTCGACTAACCATCTTACTAATTTCTCTTTGTATTGACTTTCATCTACTTTGATATCTCTGTTTCTTCATCCACTTGCTCTTTGAATGCTGTTGTAAAATGATGAAACTTGAGCCGGTGCACTTCTGTGCTATGTTCTACTTTGGTTTTTTCTATCGCTCGTTATCGACGACGCTGAAATGAAGCCCGAAGTGTAATACGGAACGACTTTGCTCGAGTAGGAAGAATTTGAAATGAATGTAGCGTGCAGACGAGTTGTTGGTTTCAGTGATATTTATACTTATCTGACATGATCACCGAAAGATGAGATTAACTCACCTCTGATTTCTCCTCTGATAAAGCTGATTCGATTCTCTTTTCACATCGATTTCTTCCGTTTAGCCTATAAATTCATTTCCAAACCAGGAATATTCATATATAAGTATTATACTGTAATGCACTTGCGTGACTGAAGCAAGTTAATTTCTTCATAGATTAGAAAACAGATATATGTATTTCAGAAATTTTCACCTATGTGTACCAGATTAATTAAACTTCCTAGTGTTTATTTACCAGGTGTAGTGTAGAACATCGAATCTTTTGACAGTTAAGGCGTGTTCATCAGCCTTTAACTGATAACAACAAAAAAGACTCAGTACAAATTTTGCATGTATCTTGGTTTTATACTGTTTGATATGCCTCAACACTTCAATCGACTAAGAATATTGTCAGTCTTATACTTTTATCTTGATACCTGTTTATTAAACAAAAATTTCAGTGCATTACTTTGGAACATAAATATGTCGAAATGATTACTTATTAGTTCGATGAGAACATCTTGAAGTTGAAACTGCCAAATCTTCTGAAAGAGGTTGCACTGGTAGAGGATATCACGTTTTAGTTTCTGGGGAATAAAAAAACCTCACCGCAGGAATTTTTAAAACTATGTTTTGATATTAACCTAAACTGGAAATATTCATCAGTGCTATCACTATCCTAGTTCCCTGACTGACTAGGGACGGAACAAAGTTGAGGATAGCTTCTTCCGTTAATCGAATCAAACCAATCTCTCAAAATTTCTGATTTAGTACGACCAACATACTTCGGTCATCATTCCTCTACACTAAAAGAAGTTTACCGAAAACGTTATTTGCAGTATTATAATCAAGGATTCAAGAACTACTGAAAACATGGGAGCACTCACTAGCTCCTCGGTATTAGGTTAAGACACTTCAACAGGTATTGCTACAGATGCATGAGGAACCGAATCCGGAAATTTCAAGTCTAACAACCAGCTCGATACCAATCATACACTGAGTATAAGTCTAGTGGTTTACATTTTCTCCTTTCACCTGCTTTCTAAAAGATGTCATTGAATAAATGCTAAAATAGGGGAACAGAATACTGAGATTACTGCATCGCTAATCACCAAACACGATGTTTTAATTTATTACACATTTGTCGCACATAATCCACCTCCACTAACTAGAAAAAACCTGACAGAAAATCAAAGTAGAACCTTACACACAAGTGTATCGGTTAAAGTTACCAAACTTCAAAGAAGTATACAAAAAACACGTGGGTAAAAAGGAGTGATACCAGAAGAGACAAGGTTGTGTGAGAGAATAAACAATTTGAAGATAACGATCGGTGTAGATATTCAAACTCTAGTGGTTATATCTGACATTGTGACCAACTTTCAGTCATGTCACCAAAAGTCATAAAACCCGAAATTCCTTTAGCCTCAGAGACTCCAACGAGCCAGTCAATATTTCTCCACAAAACTACGACCAACAGTCACGAACTTAATGGACTACTGTTAAATCCTGATTTGGACAACCTGAATCCTCCTCCAACCTAATTCAAGCTCTTTCAGCAACGCACGTCCAAGTGCACTGCGGTTCTGCATGCGCAGCACATTTAAAAGGCATCTTATTCAATGAAGGTTCATATCCACATCGATCGAATTGTCTGTAACTTGAGCCTAACCTCGATATTACTGGTTCACTGGTATGCCAGTAATGTTGCGAAGACATCTGTTATTAAAACCTTGTAATCGCCTCATGTCTTCTACTTTTAACGCCAATCTCTCACAGACGTGTAACAGGACACAACGGACTGCAGCGCAGTATACTCATCCATTGATAGATATTCAAATATCTCGCCAGTAAACACCACAGATAACGCAGGTTACCAAATGTCAAACAGATCTCCTGTATCTGAGTTGAGATTTCGTCAGAAACTAGCCCGTTTCGACCAATCAAACTTCCTGAGTAAGTGAAGTGGTCGACATATTCTACCACTTCCCTCCTTATCATTAAAGTAGGAGTAGTTGGAGATTATTCCTGGAGTATCACCTTACGTTTGACAGGTGCCAGAGAAACGGATGTCAAACATACTCAGGTTTCCGCTCAACGCACTCAGAAAACCCTGTGTTCAGTTAGTGTCTTCACCCAATATCGTCTGCATATTCCAAGTTAACCCCAGATGACCTCCAAGGAGTAGGTCAATACATATGAAGTCAGACTCACCTCAGTTCATATCCATTAGTACGCTCCTAACGAAGTTCAATAGAAGCGGTGATAATGGGCATCCCTGACGGACAACACTAGCCGTTGCCAATTCGGATGACAACTCTCCATAATCCCTTACCCAGCTGTGTGACTTCGAGTAGAGGGTTTTGGTTAGCGTTATATACTTTCTCGGTAGTCCCTTCACAGTCAGACTCTGCCACAACATCTCATGGTAGACAGAGTAGAATGTGCCACCCACAGGTCAAGAAATATGGCAAGTGTTGGCCAGTGGTCAGTAGGTATGTATGTGTTCGAGAACCTGTAAGAGGCTTAAAATATCATGAACGCATCCTTATTCAGATCTGAAATTTACCTGATTTTCCCGATTTCGGTATTCTCGAGCTGAAGTTAGACATCTTGTAACTAGAGACCCCAGAATCTTCGACATAATACTGGTCGAAACTGTTCTCTTTTGATTGTGACAGGAAAATTTCTTTCCCTTCTTATAGACTGAGATGGTCGCTGGAGTGCACCAGTCAGACGGCACTTCTGGTTCCTATACACTTCCTTGTATCTTCGTCGCTTTAATTAGCGATTTCCTATCTGTATCCTTTAAGACATCAGGTGGTTAACTGTTATACGGTTGCTTCGCATTTTTATAGGTTTGATACACCTTTCTCAATTTCAAGGAGAGTTGGAGGACCGACACCGACATCCAGTTTACGTTTAGACTGGTCGTTGGGCAACTGAAGCATTGCTATGAGCCAGTTAAACTGCACTTCAAAATGCCCCACCCAACGTTCTGGCGACCTGTCTTTGGAGGTTGTGACCTTACATTCCTTTTCGGAGAAGGTTTCACTAACCATTGTCTTGTTCATACCGGTATCCCTAGTAAGCCTGAATAGTGGCCGTTACCCAACTCTGATGCCTTCTTCATCTTTTTCGTTTCCTCCACAACTGTTTTTTCTGATCGACCCGACGACTTTCGGTCAATTTATGTTTCACTTTCGCTCTTCGTCGTGGTCAGAGCCAGCTGGAATCAGTCTTCCCGCGTCGATCAGTGTAGGTGACGTCACGGAAATCCCAATGACGTGGTCTTGCCTTCAGTTGTAAGTTACCATTTGTCCCCGCTGCTATTTTTACAGTGGTTGCAGAGTGATAGGTTGGAAAAGGTGTAAGGGGTTTAATATTAGTATGAGGAGGTGAAAGAAAAGGAGTGAACAGAGTTGAGGAGAATAGGTTGTGTTTATTGGGTCTTGTGTACTGCTGGAAGCGTGCGGGTGGTTGACACTTTCCAGCTGCTCACACTTTGAAAGCTGGTTCTTAGTGAGGTACCTGAAAGAGAGAAATGTGTTTGTGTCCACAGAACCCAATGGACATATACTTGAGGCCTTTCGCCCAAGGCCTTTTGTGAAATGTTGTTTTGAGTTTTGGTTGTTTTAACGCCGGATAGGAGAAACTCATTCCATTAGGTCTGGAAGACTGTGTGGCAGTTCGAATGTGTCACTTTTGTGGCCAACCTTTTCTAACACCCCTCCCTACACAAGGTAGGTAGCATCAACGTAGTGGCGGTGGTCATCGGTAGGAAACACCTTATTGCTGTTACATAGCATCCAGGTAGCAGCAGTCCAACTTCGCACTCAGACCCCCATCATGGTGTAGTAATTTACACTACAACAGTAACTGCTTTTTGTCGTACAACTACGCAGCAGACCTTTCTCGAGGTCCTACCGGACTTTGAGTTAATAACCTTTCCATCAGCATAGCTCGTTGTGTCATTGTGGTTTACAAGCTCGACCACCACGTCAAGATCGCAGCTATCGGCTGGGCGTTTAAGAGCGGTCAGTCGGTTGCAGGTCAACGTCTGCTACGGATTTGTACAAATCAAAACTTGTTTCTAGCCACCATTAACTTCATATTGCAACCAGCTAGCGATGATGCTGGTATATTCTGAGCTGTTGCCTTTTCTTGAACATTTGTCAAGCCTATCATTAGGCTCCAGTTTGTTCTCAGTTAGTGGTGGTCATCAAAGTCGTTGGTTTAAACAGATATCTATGTAAGTAGCTGTAACTTAACTAATCATCGATCATCTAGGATAAGATAAGCATTGACTGAACTTACAAGGAACCATGAAAATAAGAGGTGAGGCTGCTTATGGCTTTGAAGAACATCTCAATATTAAAATATTGAGTATCTGTCAGCTCTTAAAGTATTGTTGATGCTTTTTGGCTTTCTCTGGCAGGCAGCGAGTACAGTAGTATGCATAAGCACCTTAGGTGACATCGTGCATCATTTACATGAGGATAACAGGGACCGATGATCTGATCATGATCATGACAATATTCGAGATCTGTTCTAACTTATTTGAATAATTGGCATCAAGTTAGCAGGAAGTCGAGAGCTGACCTATGAAGTATGTCAATAGTAATCTTAAACGCCTAGAAAGCTGGGCGCAACACTTCAAAAAGTTGTTCAGTGGGCCTACTGCTCGAGCAACATCCACCTCAGTAGCTAATGTGCATGGTTAGTTAACATCTACCGACCTAATCAATCGGAAGTTCATAGGAAACTCCAAGTCATAAAGCATCATTACGCGCTTTATCCAGAAAACTTTTTACGGCTCTTTTCAATGATGTAGGTGACACTGTGGTCAGAGTTCTGAGAAGATTGTTTTAGATGATGTGGCAGACTATGGTTGCTTCATCATCCTCAATTGAAACCATCATATCAATCTTAAAAAAGACTATACATGATGGATTTGATAGTCATGGAGGTATGAGTCAACTGTCTATTTCATATAAAGTATTGGCTACCATCCAACTTCGCAAGCTATGCAAAACAAAAGTGAAACTGATTCTTGAGGAGCAAGTAGTTTATCTTCACGTGGCGAATGCATTGATCACGGGTTCACCTCCCTTTAGATGCTCGAACACTGCGACACCTATTGCAGGCCGGGGGTCATTATATTCATGGATATCATTGCTACCTTTGATTTGTTGGATAGGGTTGTACTTTCAGATTGTCTTTAAAAAACGAGTGTCTCTGAGGAAGCTGTTAACCTCTTGAGAGCCTTATGTAAACGCACTTCAGGTGTATTGAGTGTCCTCAGACACCTCTCTTCATTGTTTTAAACCAGCAATAAATTTAGGAAGGGCCACTTGCATTTTGTTATTCTTCTTCAATTTTGCCATCGATGACGGTCTCGAGATAGCTGTGATGATGGTGTAGATATGCCACTAGGTTAAAGACGTTTTAACCTCGAATGTATGGATGATGTCATTTTATTGTGAGACAACATTTAGGCTACTGAAATCCCATGCAATCAGTTTCCGTATATATAGTACGTGCTTTACGCCGTCGAAGTACAAACCGTTTTCGATCACAGCTGCCTTCGAACGATTTCTAGCATTCAGTGGAAAGATTGTAAATACTTCTGATTTGCAATCCCACCTGTGTGAAGCAGATGGTTATTCACTGAGTGAAGCTATTTTGAAACTCTGGCTTCGATGTATGTTACAATTGTACCGCTTGTTCATTGTGTGCTAGCTTTAGGATTGGTTGGAAGAAGTGGATAGGTGACCATTGTACAACTTATCACCGTGTCGGGTTCGTATTTGTGTATTCATCTAGATACCCTAAATGAAGTTCATGAAATCATGCTACTCATTGGCTTAAGTTGTTGCCAGATTTGGCTAACATTCGAAAACACTGCCGACCATGTTGATGTTTACTTGCTCCCATTATCAAGGAGTGAGACAAAGGTACTTGGTGGTTCCTTGTATATATGTTTGAGACTTTTATGACAACTCATTTCTGTTTGTTTCCTTTCCTTTGTCCGTTTTTTGTCTAGTCAACGTTGTTTTATTATTTTGTATGTCACATCTCTTGGTGCTTATGTTGTACCAAATTAGTATTCTTAATTTATAAAATAATAATACCAGTGCTTATATCATACAGGTTTGTTTCGCGCTACACTAAGAAAGAAATTCGAAATCTTGGTCTCAATCAACTCAACATTATAGAAATGGGTGATTCAACCGACTAGGAGAAAACCTTTGCAGCTGCTTTTAAAAAAACGTAAATCCCATTCTACTTGGAATCTCATTATTTTTCTCTTGTAAATAGTCTTTCTTTTTACTTTGATTTCACGTGTTTTGTAACAAATTTCAAGTCTACTGTTTTTTAAAATGGAATCATAGATCTGCTATTTTTTTTGCTTATTTCATAAAGACTATATTAATATTTTACGGGATTCTCTTTACTGCATTCTACTGTACGATTTTTAATTTTTGCGATACCCTCAAAAAGGAAATAAGCAACTTATGTTTTTAATTCTGTTATTTATACGATTGTTACTTGCGCATTGCAAAGTTGTCGTTTTATACTGAATAAACACACTCTGTTGTCGCCATTAGATTTTTTAAATAAGACAGCGTATCTATATGCTTAAGTTATTTGTAAACAGTCTTATCACTGTGGCTTTTTTCTCACCAATAGGAAAGCCATTATGGTGCTAAAGTCAATCATGTCTTCTACTGTTAGAACAATTCATTATCTAGCTAGTCCCCTACATATTTAAAATGGTATCCAGTGTTATACATGAATTTAAAATAGATGAAGAGTAGTTGATAAATATCAGAATTAAGTAACTAAATCACAAGAGTGTGGCGGGAAGACGTTACTATATGTTTTAGGAGAATAGTCAATCTTTAATCTAAAAGTAGCAAGTGTTAGTGAAGTGTGAGTGTATGAAACATGTGTGAAAATATGAAGCATTTAAGGGAGTATTTCTCGTAGAAATATTTCGGTGAGTCTGCCTGTGTATGAATTTACATTTGGGAGTTATAAACGTATTCGTAAGTAACTGGTATATTAATGAAGGATCCTGTACTACTTATTCCTAGATAATATCGTATCGAGTCATTGATAGCTTGAAATGTAATTCAGTCTTATTGGCTTGCAAAATTGTTAACTTCCTGTGATTACTACTTCAGTATGTAAATATGCGAACATATACTTCAATATTTTTTCCGACGTCCAAATGCAGCCCGAGAATAGTACACTCGATGCAACAAGTCATATCTTAAACCTGGATGAGGATGCGTCCATTATATTTTAAGCCTCCTACAGGTTCTCGAACACATACATACCTACTGACCACTGGCCAACACTTGCCATATTTCTTGACCTGTGGGTGGCAGCATTCTACTCTGTCTACCATGAGATGTTGTGGCAGAGTCTGACTGTGAAGGGACTACCGAGAAAGTATATAACGCTAACCAAAACCCTCTACTCGAAGTCACACAGCTGGGTAAGGGATTATGGAGAGTTGTCATCCGAATTGGCAACGGCTAGTGTTGTCCGTCAGGGATGCCCATTATCACCGCTTCTATTGAACTTCGTTAGGAGCGTACTAATGGATATGAACTGAGGTGAGTCTGACTTCATATGTATTGACCTACTCCTTGGAGGTCATCTGGGGTTAACTTGGAATATGCAGACGATATTGGGTGAAGACACTAACTGAACACAGGGTTTTCTGAGTGCGTTGAGCGGAAACCTGAGTATGTTTGACATCCGTTTCTCTGGCACCTGTCAAACGTAAGGTGATACTCCAGGAATAATCTCCAACTACTCCTACTTTAATGATAAGGAGGGAAGTGGTAGAATATGTCGACCACTTCACTTACTCAGGAAGTTTGATTGGTCGAAACGGGCTAGTTTCTGACGAAATCTCAACTCAGATACAGGAGATCTGTTTGACATTTGGTAACCTGCGTTATCTGTGGTGTTTACTGGCGAGATATTTGAATATCTATCAATGGATGAGTATACTGCGCTGCAGTCCGTTGTGTCCTGTTACACGTCTGTGAGAGATTGGCGTTAAAAGTAGAAGACATGAGGCGATTACAAGGTTTTAATAACAGATGTCTTCGCAACATTACTGGCATACCAGTGAACCAGTAATATCGAGGTTAGGCTCAAGTTACAGACAATTCGATCGATGTGGATATGAACCTTCATTGAATAAGATGCCTTTTAAATGTGCTGCGCATGCAGAACCGCAGTGCACTTGGACGTGCGTTGCTGAAAGAGCTTGAATTAGGTTGGAGGAGGATTCAGGTTGTCCAAATCAGGATTTAACAGTAGTCCATTAAGTTCGTGACTGTTGGTCGTAGTTTTGTGGAGAAATATTGACTGGCTCGTTGGAGTCTCTGAGGCTAAAGGAATTTCGGGTTTTATGACTTTTGGTGACATGACTGAAAGTTGGTCACAATGTCAGATATAACCACTAGAGTTTGAATATCTACACCGATCGTTATCTTCAAATTGTTTATTCTCTCACACAACCTTGTCTCTTCTGGTATCACTCCTTTTTACCCACGTGTTTTTTGTATACTTCTTTGAAGTTTGGTAACTTTAACCGATACACTTGTGTGTAAGGTTCTACTTTGATTTTCTGTCAGGTTTTTTCTAGTTAGTGGAGGTGGATTATGTGCGACAAATGTGTAATAAATTAAAACATCGTGTTTGGTGATTAGCGATGCAGTAATCTCAGTATTCTGTTCCCCTATTTTAGCATTTATTCAATGACATCTTTTAGAAAGCAGGTGAAAGGAGAAAATGTAAACCACTAGACTTATACTCAGTGTATGATTGGTATCGAGCTGGTTGTTAGACTTGAAATTTCCGGATTCGGTTCCTCATGCATCTGTAGCAATACCTGTTGAAGTGTCTTAACCTAATACCGAGGAGCTAGTGAGTGCTCCCATGTTTTCAGTAGTTCTTGAATCCTTGATTATAATACTGCAAATAACGTTTTCGGTAAACTTCTTTTAGTGTAGAGGAATGATGACCGAAGTATGTTGGTCGTACTAAATCAGAAATTTTGAGAGACTGGTTTTATAGTCTACAGTGTGTTTATGACTCCTTATTTATTGACTGTTTCAGATGGGAAATAAAACGTAATATTGTGTCTGCGTTTGGTTGCTTGCACTATCAGTTTGTGTACTTTTAGCAGAAATCTGAGTATTTTCAGGCTGCGTTTGCGTCTGTCAGATTCAACTGACGTTTTACGGACTGCTTTGCCCGGACTGCTAGGATAAGGATATGCAGGAAGTTACGGAAGTCCGTTAACCAGACGTATATTCAATAACAATCATATTTACGGAGGATTAAGTAACATTTTTCACTGTTAGCTTACCCAATACTGACAGAGAAGTCCTATTCACTGCTTTCACGTGGCTTGCATGTTTCGACAGATGCAAAAGGGCGAAAGGGAATGTCCCGCGCTTATCACCGGATTGGTGAAAGCTGGGGGTTCACTTAGGGTATTCGGAAATTTCTGATTCCAAACCATTGGCACAGATTCCAGATGGAAAGATTGGCATATGAACCTCTTTTGATCACCCACAACCGTGGGGGTCCAGGTTCTGATGTTGCTCCACTGCTTTGTCGATTACACTTTAGGTCAATGGCCTCTGGGATTGGTCCTCTAAGACAACTACCTGCTTTGGTCTTGGCACCCGGGAGGTATTCCAGTCCTCACACAAATTTTGTATTCACAATAGCGAACGAAGATTTCGAAGCAACTAGCCAATATTTCTGCGAATACCCAAACCCTCCTCACCATGAACTTTTTAACCGATTACTCGATTTATTGCTATGATATTGCTTTTGTTGTTTTTGCATTAACTGTGTTTTCTTTATTATTACCATTGTCACTTTTGTCTTTATCTTCTTTCTACTCAGCTACTGTCCATTGCTTAGACTTCTGGTCTGTCTGTCTATCTGTACCGTTTTGAGTTACCAAGCAGTTGCCCCTATAAAACTCTGCTCCAGTGTGACATCTGACACAGCTATCTTGAAATCACGTATATCGTTTGAGCTCATCACCTTCAATGTTCGCACCTTGATGCAGATCAGACAACAGGGTGGGTTTGCTAGGTCTTTGGAAAGCCTCTCTGTTGATGTATGCTGCATCTCAGAGACCCGCATTCAAGATCCTAGTGAAGTGCTTCGAATAAGTTCCCATCTCTCAGCTCGAAAAGTATGTTACATGCGCGCTTATTCGAGGACCCTGTGTCATCAGCGGTTGCCTTGCTGGTGTCGCAATAAGCACTCCGGCCGAATCTGCACTGCTCGATTGGATCCCCATCAGCAGCCATCTGTGTGCTGTTAGGGAAGAGAAACGATGTCTTATCTGCCAATGCTCCGAGAGAAGTCAGCACAGATGCGACCAAGGATGAATTCTATCATTAACTGAGTGACTTCAACCAGGTGCGCTTGACAGATATCTTAGTGCCAGCTGGGGACTTGAGTGCGCAGGTTGGGCATCTAAGCTCAGGAGGGTCGTTTAGGTGGCCAATCGGGAATAGATGGCCGCAGTTCAGATAATGAAGATCGTCTTCTGCAGCTTTGTGCAGATCACGGCGTATTTCTGGCCAGCATCAACTTCCGACACAGCCATCACCGTTGTGCTACTTGGCGTCCTCCCTCTGCCACTCAAATGTGGACTTGAATAGATCATGTGGCAATCAGCTACTGAGGCGTGGGTGCATACAGGACTGCTGCCCCGTATGGAGTACTTGTTTGAACTCTAATTATGCTTTGCTGTGTGCGAAGTTTGTCTTGAGTTTTGGTTGTTATCAAAATCGTCATCCTGAGCAGATCAGTGCAAGCGAATTGGTTGCACCTAACATTACAGCCAAATATCGATCCAAGTTGGACTTAAGACTAGCTACCGATCATCCAGAAAGTGTAGATGAGTCTGGGCTGCACTTGAAAGATGCCATGAAAATATCGATTAAAGACACTTACAGCTTAGAAGAACGTCACGCCAATAAACACTAGGTCTCTGCGAGCTTCCTACAACTTCTTGATGCCAGTCGGACCATTCCGTTGGATAGAGTACAGTGGTTTGCTTAAGTCTCTTATGAGAAAGATTACACAACACTTATGCAAGGACCGTGAAGCTTGGTGGTCAGAAGGTGCGAATGGGATGGAAGCAACGGCTGGATCTGGCAGTGGTCGGAAGCTGTCTCAGTTCATCTGAGCTACTGGGAACAAGAAGCCTGGTGTCAAAGAGGCAGATGGTCTGTGAGGTAGATGGTACACCGACAAACAATCTTCAAAGATGCCTGGAACGCTAAGTAGAGCACTACGAAAAGCAGTTTAACTGGCCCACAACCCCAGCATTGTTAACTTCAGTGTATCGTGCACCATGGTCAGCTAATACAGACCCGCCTGACGAAGTGGAGGTCCATAATGAACTCCTAGTTTTGAAACGCCACAAGGCACCGGGCCCAGATAACACTTTGACTGTCTTAAAGGATGGGGAAATGACTCTAGTCAGGGAACTGACTAGGTTCTTTGAGAAGGTATGGCAGACTGAGACTGTTCCATCACT